CCTACCCAGACTTCACAAAGCCTTAATACTTACATAAAAGAATATAATGAGAGTCTTTTAAAAAGCAACTGCGAAACAATCCTAGTTCCCGTATCTATCGATTTTGACGAATCAAATCCCTACCTTGAGGATATTCTTTCCGGTTTAAGTAACACAAAGGTCTTAAACGAAGAACGAGAACTTCACTCATTTAAAAAGATAAAGTCAAAGGGCAAAACTTATTATCTTCTCTTCACAAAAGTATATTATTTTGATGACTATCCCGAAATCTTCAAAACCTTAAAAGCCACCTGGGACGACATTATACTTTCAGGTAATATTAGTGAAATCGCAGTTTCTGATTTTAAGAATCTGCTTAAACAACATTCGTTTGTCAAAATATACGGCATGCTTATGTATTTATATAACAATACAAATATAACAATAAATATATATCACAACTCCATTATATACAGGGTGTACCGACAGAAATATCGAAAATTCTAAAAAAAAATCACGATATACCAATAGCCGGTCACTTAGGATCAAATAAAATGTATAATAGAATTAAAGAACGTTATTATTGGAAAAACATGCGCGCAGATATAGAGAGATATACACAAAATTGCAAACTTTGCCAAACAAATAAACCGTTACGCAAGATTAACCGGTCTCCTATGCAAATCACAACCACTTCCACTCGCCCATTTGAGAAAATAAGCCTAGACATAGTAGGCCCCTTACCCGAAGCGGGTTTTCACAAACTCCGATTTACACTCACCCTTCAAGATGATTTAAACCAAATTTTCTACAGCCTATCCAATTTCCAACGTTACCGCAGAAGAAACATGCGAAGCTCTAGTTCACTTCATTTCACAATTTGGGATCCCTAAATCCATAATTACCGATCAAGGAACAAATTTTACGGCTGACCTTTTCAAACGTACATGTGAATTTTTAAAAATAAGACAGATATGGTCCTCTCCGTATCATCCCCAGACTCAAGGTGCTCTCGAAAGGAGCCATGCCACTTTGAAAGAGTACCTTAAGTCCTTCGTGAACGAAAACCAAACCGATTGGCACAAATACGTCTATACGGCGATGTTAGCCTACAACAGTAACGTCCATACAACAACTCAGTTTACCCCTTACGAACTTCTTTTTGGTCATAAGCCGTATATTCCCGATGCTATTTTCGAATCAAAAAGTAACGTTACCTATCCTAATTACATTAAAATGCTTCAGCATCGATTAAAGATTTCTCGAGAAAGCTCAACAAAATATACAAATTTCAAAAGAAAAGTCTAAAACATACTACGACAGAAACTCTCGCATGGTCAAATATAAAATAGGAGATTAAGTCTACATTAAAAATCATCTTCGTCTTCGCAAAGCCCTCTACCCCATTTGGAAGGGGCCCTACAAAGTTGTCAAGGTCCACAGTAATAATACCCCTACTCTACTCATTAACAGACGCCATGTTAAACACCACTTCGATGAAGTGAAACACGCACATGACAGAAGTTCTTAAATATCAAAATTACACTCATTTTAAGACATATACTTTAACACTCACAATTCATTTATACACTTTTTCTTTTACATTATATACGCGTTATTATACAATTCAAACCTAGTAAGCCCTTAATTATTATTATTTACAGAACCGCCACCGCATTTTGCGCTATTATTATTGCAACCGGCAATGGTCAATATATTGAACGCATCGACAAGAGCCCTGGTATATTTTTCGACCCTGTTGGTACATTGAGGATAATTAATGATCAATTTCACATCGTTATTCCGGTAGACGTACATCCAATCCAACACCATTTGGAAAACATTCATGAAGTATTTAAAATAATCCGATTTCAGTGTCATGAGAGTGCCGACATAGATTATACTCAGTGTGAAAATATGTTACAACCCCTAGAAGCACTTTACAACGACATCTTAAGAGATTTTAATGCGATTTCCCATATTATCTTAAACGGTATGTCCAAGAGATCTGCCTGGTTCTCAGGTATTGGCACGGTATTTAAACACATTTTCGGCACACTGGATGAAAATGACGCTGAAAAGTACAATAAAGCTATTCATGCTCTATTTAAGAACGAAAATAAACTAGCAGAGTCTACCAAAAAGCACATCTTAGTCTCAAAATCCGCTATTTCTAGTGTTAATAAATCCCTGGAGGAATTAAATGACAATCAAATAAAGTTAAATAGTGTCATTGAACTCTTATCTTCTACTGTTAAAAATGCATCTGAGATGTTAAATGTACTCAGTTTTCAAACGATACTATCCAATGTTTTAAATACCTTGCTATCTAATTTACTTACAATGTCATTCAAAGTCGAAGATCTGTTAAACTCAATTTTATTTGTAAAAATCAACACCTTACATCCATCTGTATTAAGCCCAACTCAAATGTATAATGATATAATTAGTAATCTAAGAATTATGCCAAAATATAAAGATTTTCCAATATCTCTAGAATTAAGCAACATTCATACTTTAATTAACATTGCCGATTTAGTATGTTATTATTTAGACAATAAGCTTATTTTTTTTATCATAAAACTAACTTTAGTTAGTTTGTTAAAATATAATATGTATAAGAACTTACCTTTACCAACTCCACATGCTCAAGATAGAACAAACTCTTTTGCCATGATCATCCCTTCTGAAAAGTTTGTAGCGCTAAGCAAAGATAAAACAAGTTATGTTTATCTACAAGACATAAATAATTGTAAAAACATCCCGACAAATACCTACCTTTGTGATGTTGTAGATGTAGCTACAATATCCAATAATATACCCTGTGAAATAGAAATTATGACGAAAGCCTTGATATCAATCCCAGATAATTGTCCATTTAGACTAATTTCCGGTGATCTGGATATATGGCATAAACTATACAACAACAAATGGATTTTTGTTCAAACCAAATCCACTAAGTTATCAGTAGAGTGTAGTAACAATTTAACCGAATACACTCTAGCTTTCCATAAGAATCTGAAATTAGAAACTAAGCTCTACCCTAGTATAAATGTCCCCGGAATATATTCGGATTTTAATATAATTAACGATAGTTGTTGTAAGTTAAGTAACCTTAACAAATTTTCATTTAACCTTACGTCTTCTATAAATGTAAAAACTATGAACTTAGAAAATTTAAAATCTTACAACACTGATTCCGATCAGATTGTCAAACGACTAGACACCCTAGAAAATCCAAATTTGTATAATGTTAGTTTCTCTATAATAAGTCTTATATCTGTAATACTTTGCATATCTATTATAACCTATATAATTTGTAAGAGAGGAAAGTCTTTCAGAGAGCATTTTAATTTTAACAAAGAAAATACAGAAAATCATCATCACACTCAAGGGTGAGTTTCGTCTCAACGGAGGGGTTGTTATAGATCCCCTTTTAACAGGGATCCGCTGACACAAAGCACACAGTCAGCACTCTCTTAGTAGCTTCGGTACTATTCCATTTTTAAACACTAGCAGTACAGCAGTCAGTCATACACTCTCATCCGAAATACTCGCCTCTCAATTTCAATTCCTAATTTGTGTCATTCTATAATGAAATCCAGTTGTAATTTCTGAATAGTTTTTTTAAAAGATATTTCGTTAAGCCCCGTATAACAGAGCGCTGAACTGGCCGAACGCAACCAACTGCTACCGAATTCAACACTTCCTTACGAATGTGTGCGTACTAATAAAATAGTAGGCGCTACATATTTATGTATGACAATCAGTTAAAATAATGCATTTCCACACATTTTGAATATAAAATATAAAAAGGTCAAAATGTTTGAGTTTTTTTCTTATATATGTATCTCTCAACTCAAACATATATTCTTTCCACCATTCGCTTATATCACCTATTCTGAACCTCTTTGGCCAGTTATTGCAAAATAACCGCGTATTGTAAATTTCTAACTATATTTGCTGAAATATAAAACTTAGTACAATAAATATAAAATATAAAAGTTAATTAGTTAGAATAATAGATATAAAAGTAAAAAAAATGAAGTTATATAGTGTTACGGACTTTTTTGCAGAATTATTAAAGATCTACATGTTTGTTATACCTACATTGTTTTCACATAAGTAAAAGGCAGCGCAAGGAAATAGTGCTGTTATAATAGGTGTTTTCTGCGACTTGCTAGACAAAACCAATGCAAAACTAGGCATAAGAGAGCACGGTGAGCTGTAGTTAGGGAAATTCGAAATAGGGCAACGGAACCCAAGGGGTCAGCAGCAGGCAGATTTCATGGAGAAAGAGGGACTCTTTATGACGAACTCTTTCTTTCCGAAGTGGCCCCACATGAAGTGGACCTGGTTGAGCACCGACGGTTCGCCAAAAATGAGATTGACTTCATTATGAGGACCAGACGATAACGGTTCAGTGATGTCTCAGTGATTGCGAGGGTGAAAACTGGTAGCGATCACCGAGTGGTTCGATTCACACTGAACCTAAACGTTAAGTTGGAGAGATCTCGTCTAATGAAGTTAACGCTCCGTCCCCCTTGTGCTCTAATACAAAGTCCCGAAACCTTTCAGCTCGAGTTACAAAACCGTTTTCAGTGCCTAGAATACTGCAATGTAGTGGACGATATGAATGACAAGCTCGTGGAAACTGTACATGCGGTCGGAGCTAAGTTCTGCAAGATCCGCCGCAGAAGAACACAAAAACTGTCCAGTCACACTCTTAATCTCATGGCTGTTAGACGGGAAATGAAGCTGCAGTCTTCAACAGAATTGATAGGATACAGGCAACTGAACAGACAGATCTCCAAATGCATGCGGTAGAATTTAAAAACAGAAATAAAATAATAACACTTAGGATAGTAATTATAATATAAGGTAAAAAAGTAATAATTAAAATTAACTTTTACAAATAAAGTTATATTAAAACTATTTTTTAATACAACTTTATTTGTAAAAGTTAGTCATTTTACCAGAAGATTAAAAGAACGAACGGGAAATAAAATGCCACATTTATTCACACATTTATTTATTTACCTTAAAATAATACAGTAAAAATATGTTTGAGACTTTAACAATGTTCAGTCACAAGAAAAGACTTAATTCTAAATGTATCACAAAATATCACATAATAAGTATGCAATTCAGACTACTTAAAACATAAAATATATGAAATGTAATCATTGTGAACGTTTTAGTAATTATTTTGTATTACAGTTGAATACATATTTTAAAATGAATATATTAGGGATCGCCCATAAAACACAACAGCGTTGAGTGGTTGGGAGGAGAAACCACATATAAAAGTTATATAAAGACAAGGGAGGTAAATGTTAATGTTTTAATTTTGAAATAACTATACTCTTTGGTCATAACTATAAAATAAAAGTTGTTATAATAAAATAAAATGTTTTGTTTTGTATATGCACAACATACTCAGAAATAGCAATTGCGTATTGTTTAAGTTTAAATATTTAATTATATACTTTATTTAAAGTGTCTTTGTGACGAAATCAGTTTATTTTAACATTATTTCAATTTTAGAAAAGATGACAGAGGAAAAGAATCTTTATGTTTATATGGAGGGGAAAAGGTAAATATAACATTGCAGAAAAGTTACACGGTTGATGTTGCTTTTATGTCTAGTAAAATGTAATTATATGACTCAAAATTTATTCAACATTTCATTAAATCAATTATAGATAAAATGTTACCGGCTGTTGTCGTCACAGCTCACTAGAATATAACTGAACAACAATTTTCATTATACTGAAAAAGAGTATAATCGATACCCTTCCAAAACACAATAATTATCTTTGATCGATACATCATTGCATTTTTTTATTCGATAGTATAATTTCAGACAGCTCTATTGGCCTTATCTATAAGACTGTAATTCTCTTAAAAATATAGTAATAAATGGTTTAAAGAACGTTAAAATTGATTTTGTATACCTACTACCTAAATAAAACTTAAGATTACACGTACAAATATGATATACCTTCGAATCGATACAAATTTCCCAAAAATCATGGAGATTACCTCCGACCATAAAGACTTTTGCCGCCAAACTTCAAAAATTGACTAAAGATGTAATACCATTAGTCAAACAAAAAGCGAAATCCAGGAAACATTTCAAGATTATTTTTAACTGCATTCAAAAAGCAGATAGCGATGAAGTGTAGTTGGAATTTCCAAATATTTGACAATTTCTACCAGCTCAGTCCCAAAATACCTACGTAAAAAAATTCTTGTTTGAGCTAACAAGGTAATGGGATTCTTAGCGCGGTCAATTAAGGCTTGTTTTTGAATGGCGGTAAGTGTAGAGTTCCTTTTTATCATACACAAGTCGAACGCTTCAGCTGCTTCCAGGAGGAGGTAGAAGATGTGTTGGTATTCCTCAGAGGTTACATTTTGCAAGTGATTCAGAATACCGTTTGGGTCACGAAACTGCGTTTTCATTATTACCTGAAAAATAATAAAATTAATTGTGAATGAGTTAAATTAATTTGATGTACATAATTTGATGAGAATATAAATGTCAAAAGAAAATTATGCTAAGGGAGACGTGGAAAAAACGGAACGCTTTTGTCTCTGTCAAATTTTTAACAGTGGTAGAGCTAAGCGGTAGCTTTTGTTGTCGCACGGATGGGCCAGCTCGAACCGGGGTGGTACCACGACCTCACAGAATACCAGCATGAAGTAGAGGTTTACCTCTGCGTTGCGCTTGGTGAGTGCACGTGGCCGGAGGCCCAATCCCCCCCCCCCATCAACATCGTAGTGGAATTAAATAAAAGATTACCCCAGGAGGGTACCAGCACCCCTGGAGAATCCCTCGCTGAGCATCCACGACCAAACTACTTCACTTCTGAGCGTGGGTGCTCAGGCTGCCCCGCGTATTCTGGGGGGTGCAAAATTCCGCTCAAATACATAACTGCTCGGGCCAAGCGGAGCAATACAACCAAGGCGACCCCTGTCACGCTATCCGTGAATTTTTGCAACATCAGGGGACTTCATTCCAACCTTAACGCTGTCCATTACCATCTGGCACAAAGCGCTTCTTTCGAAGCTCCCTTCCTATGGGCTTCCCGAGAAATTGTGCAATTGGATCACCAGCTTCCTTGCAGATCGGAGCATCAAGGTCGTTGTAGACGGTGCATGCTCTGACTACAAGCCTATTAACGCTGGTGTTCCACAAGGCTGTGTGCTATCACCAACGCTGTTTCTTCTGCATATCAATGATATGTTGCTAACTGTTAACATTCATTGCTATGCGGATGACAGCACTGGTGATGCTCTATACACCGGCCGTGCCAATATTTCTCGGGAAAACGTCGCTGAGTACCGGAACAAACTTGTGTCTTTTTTTTTTTTGTTTTGTTTGCGCGTTTACCGCTAAAAAGAACCCCTTTGTCGTATCTCCTCAGTTTCAAGGCACTCCCCTTCTTGCCTCAGCCAGTATCGGTATCCTCGGAGTCGACATATCGAGTGACGTGCAGTTTCGTGGTCACTTGGAAGGGAAGGCCAAATTGGCCTCTAAAAAGCTTGGCGTGCTCAGCAGAGCGGGACAGTATTTCATGCCGGCACACCGCCTGCTACTTTACAAGGCGCAAGTTCGGCCTCACATGGAATACTGTTCCCATCTCTGGGCAGGGGCTCCCCAGTGCCAGCTCCTTCCACTTGACCGCATCCAACGCAGAGCGGCGCGAATTGTCGACGACCGAGCCCTTTCCGATCGGCTCGATTCATTGGCACTGCGAAGAGATGTTGCATCCCTTTGCATTTTCTTTCGCATCTACCATGGGGAGTGCTCTGAGGAATTGTTCGGATTAATCCCAGCCGCCAAATTTCACGAACGCACATCGCGGCAGAACTCCCGATACCATCCACACCATCTGGATGATTGGCGGTCCACCACTGTGCGATTTAGAAGATGTTTTCTTCCTCGCACGACCTCCTTGTGGAATCGATTACCATCAGCGATTTTTCCGGACCGATACGACTTAGGGACCTTCAAGAAAAGAGCGTACTCCTTTTTAAAAGGCCGGCAACGCATCTGCGATTCCCCTGGTGTTGCAGTTGTTCATGGGCGGCGGTAGTCACTTACCATCAGGTGAGCCGCATGCTCGTTTGCACCCTCTCCTATAAAAAAAAATCTAGAGACGGCGAAGCCGGCCTTGCACTTTTTAACCGAGACTCAGGTGTCCTCTCCGGCTGATACGTCATATCTCTCCTACCCAGGGTACAAATTGGAACACTCCTTTGTGCCCCGGGCTGGAGTTTGCGTATATGTCAGAGAGGACATCTGTTTTCGACGCCTCAGCAGTCTTGAAGGTACGGACCTGTCCATCCTATGGCTGCGCGTAGACAGTGACGACCATCCCCGCGTCTACGGGTGTCTCTATAGGTCCTACAGCGGTAATGCCGACACAGACCGACTCATCGACCACGTCCAAATGGCTGCAGACTCCGGGCTACAACAGGTCCCATCCGCAGAGATCGTGATACTCGATCCGATACTGATTTTAACGCCCACTACCACCGGTTCTCGCTTAACCGATCATGCGGGTAGATCTGTCTATGACTTTGCTTTGGCATATGGTCTAACACAACTGGTTACTTCGCCTACGCGGATCCCAGATGTGGAAGACCATGTACCTTCCCTGTTGGACCTTCTGCTGACCTCTCATCCGGACGGATATAAGGTCTCCGTTGATGCCCCTCTGGGCTCTTCGGACCATTGTCTGATCCGGAGTACGGTGCCACTCACGCTCCAATCGCAGTTACGATCTGCAGCTTGCCGCCGTGTTTGGCATTATAGGTCAGCTGATTGGGACGGGATGCGGTCTTTTTTTGCATCCTACCCTTGGGGGCGGGTTTGCTTCTCGCCGGAAGATCCCAGCGTTGTTGCCGATTCTGTTGCTGATATGGTACTTCAGGGTATGGAACTTTTTATTCCATCCTCTGTGGTGTTCATCGGAGGCAGATCCCAGCCATGGTTTGGTCGCTCCTGTAAAATAGCATCACGCTATAAGCAGGAGTGCTACCGGGCCTGGGCTGACGCATCAACGTCTCGGGATGTAAACACCAGCACACTTAAAAAGTAGTATAATTCCGCCTCCAGGTCCTTCAAAAGCGTCATTGCCAAGGCAAGGTCTGAGCACATCGGCAGAATTGGCGAGAAGCTAGTTCGCCTTTCTTCGGGAACCCGTGCATTCTGGTCTCTCGCCAAGGCTGTCCAAGGGAACTTCTGTCAGCCATCTCTTCCATCTCTGCTCAGAGAGGACGACTCACTGGCCCATGCCGCAAAGGAGAAAGCCGATCTGTTGAGCTCTCTTTTTGCATCCAACTCGACTCTAGATGACGGGGGGAACACACCGCCGACCATCCCGCGATGTGAGTGCTCCATGCCGGATGTGCGGTTTACACAGCGCTCGGTTCGCAAAGCACTCTTCTCCCTGAACGTCAGCAAGTCGAGTGGGCCCGATGGAGTCCCTCCCATTGTGCTGAAGACGTGTGCTCCGGAGTTGGCACCGGTTTTAACGCGTCTTTTCCGGTTCTCTACACCCACCATACGAAACACAGTTCTGCTATTTTACGCTGGTATTCTGTGTGGGCGTGGTCCTTTCCCGGTCGGGCCGACCCATTCGTGCTACAACCATAATATAGATACAGCATGGCTCTACCACGCGGAATAAGCAGTGCCTTTGTACATGTGTTCTTCTTACTATGTTCCCATTAAAATGTCTGTGTGCATAAATAAATAACAAAGGAATGTGGAGGCGTACCCGCGCGCCGTAGCGCAGCAGCAGCGCGACGGTGGCGGCGGCGGGGCGCGCGCAGCTGGCCAGGTACTCGGCCAGCGCCGGCCGCAGCTGCGCGCCCTCCTCCTCGTTCAGCACCTTCAGGTTCGGGTCTGCGCCGCCTTCCAGCAGCAGCTGAAACATTATCGCCATTGAGTCATATGTACTACGTACTAGAGAAGCCATTCCAAACAAAAAATGTGCACTACTCTATGTCTTCGCGCATGCGCGGGAGATAGTAGTCGTGCATGCGCAGTTGATTTAAGCGCGTTGTGCCTGCGCGGTCAGTTTTTAATTTAAACTTTAATTTGAAATCTTGTATTATTAGCGCCGCTCCACACTGCATGAATATTGAAACCACAGACTAAGTAGTAGATTGAAATCACACTAAATGACACACTGTACGGATTGCAATACAGTTTAGTTGAACATAGTGTATGTTCGGAATGCGAAATCTAGTACGTAGTACATATATATCGATGATTATCGCATATTATGATATATATATCATGATATCAAAATTTTGATCGCGCCACAGGAGATATATCAGGGACGGCTCCATGGCGTAGTGGCTCGGTATTGAGTTGCAGCGCTGTGGGCCGCGAGTTCTAATAACTCACGAATCAAGTATTTGTATGGACCAAAAATAATTGTTCCGTGTCTGGATGTCTGTTCTTGTACAATTTATGTTTGTAAATGGTGCCTCCAGGTTTACACCACGTTACAAATATGATTATTTTATAGTTCTAGTAGTTTCTAATAATTTTATTACCTAAGTATTTTGTAACCTAAGAAAACCTGAAGATCAAATAATGATAAAACTAATTAAAAAGTATTACATTACCAAATCCTTCATGTGCAGTAACGCACATACGTCATTGTTTTAGATTGTTCTAACCAGTTATGTACACTTTATGGTTTAAACAAATTCTAGATACTTAAATAAAAAAAATATTTATGGAAAATTTTGTACTTCTAATATGTCTCAAATAAATATCTATTGTATTGCATTAATAATCTGGCAGTGTTTCAGTTTGTTTATTAAATAACACGTTTTTTGTTGTTTCCCAAAACCTTAGAAATATCACATATGGAACTTGTCAGTTGCAGCGGCGATGTATGAATTGTCGATTTGTGGCAAAAATAGCCGTTAGTTAGCTATGAACGAAACAACGAGGAAATATGGGCCGAGACTTTTGAAAATTAGTTATTTGAAGAAACTATCGCTGTCGTTCTGCGAGCGCTCGGCGTCCGATAAGGACTACTGCAGATCCGACTGAATAGCCTAAGTAAAAAGCCATAATTTAAGTTTTGGCTCTCTACCATTTCCTCCTCCAATATTAGACCAATTTAAAAGATATTTCATAAACTGAATAAGAAGTATATACATTGTGTCCCTATGCTTTTCTTTTTTCGGTATTAGTTATCAAATTTTAACATCGCCTCTGTTGACAGCGGTCTAAATAGGATATTTTCAGCATTTTGTAAGGGTTCTAGTGCTTATAAAGATAATGTATCATCAAAAAGGAATACATAGGGACATAGCATAGAAAAGGTTGATATTTATTTTACTGTAAAAACTCATAGCTATTTCATAAACCAGAAAGAAAACAGGCGACAGAGTTTGTATGGAGAAAAGCCCACCCGTATTTCCTCTTCAATACGTACACTATAGATTTTAAATTTAAAGTTTAACTCACTTTAACTATTTCCTTTCTGTTGTCGATGTTGTCCGAACAAGCCACGTGGAGGGGAGAACCAATTACTGAGCTGGACGCGTTGACATTAGCCCCTAAAATATGAATGACAGTTTTAATGTTACCTGAACTAAAAGTGAAATTTCCCGAATAGTTTTAAATAGTTCATTAGATATCTATAATATTAAAGATTTTTAATATTAGAGGTACGTATGTTTTATGTATTGATTAAAATTATACTATATTTATTAACTTTTTTTTATGACAATAATCTGCGCTTTCTGTTCTATTCGTCTTAATGTACATAATAATATGTACCTACATGATGCTTAAGATGGAAAAGCTTAAGATCGCAATTTGCTAAATAAGATTTTTTTTAAATACAAAGTTCTAAGTACTTTCGCCATCTTGATGCCTCCGTCATGTTGAATTTACAATGACGTCACGTAGTCTGTTTGATAAATCCTTTCGTTTGAAATCCATTACAAACTAGTTGCAAAATTTTAGTATAATCGGTTAGGCAGTACCAATTTAAAATTCAGTTGCAAGATTTGACATATACTAACAGGTGAAGTTTAAATAAAATATTGTAATAAAATACAAATTTTTAATGAATGCCAAGGTCTTACCAGCAGCCAAAAGCATCTGCACCATCCCCACGTCGCCTCTGAGTATGGCGAGGTCCAACGCACTGGGCTTGTTCAGTTCTGGGCAGTCGTAGTTTACACGGGCGCCTTGCTTGATCAGCAAGTTAACCATGTCAGGGTTACCTGATGAAAATTCAATTTTCCTAATTTATTTATTTGTTTTTTTTTTTATAGAATAATTGTGACAAACGAACACAGTGTCCACCTGGTGGTAAGTGGATGTTGTGGCCCACAGACATCTACATTTATCCTCGATTAAGAATTAAAATGCAGATGCGTTATCACCCCTGAGGACTAAGATGGAATACCTCGTTTCTAGTAAAACGGGTCTCCGGTTCTCTCCACTCACTATGCGAAATAGTAGCATTAAGCTGCATTTTACGCTGGTATTGTGTTTGCACGTGATCCTACCCCGGTCGAGTCGATCCATTCGTGCTACAACCATAATATAACTGGAGCGTGGCTCTACCACGTAGGTATAAATGCATTTATTTTTGTAGAAAATCGCGTACAAATCTCCGGACTCTACCTTCATTCAGATCGAAACAGAAAATTATAATAAGTTGCAGTGTAAGTTTTAGAAATATTTTTTAACAAAATCTATTATAACATGAACAGATATCTATACAAATAAATAAAATTGAAGTGTCTGTTTGTAATGTTAAAATAACAGCTTTTTACTAAATGCATATGAAAGTGTATACGGTACCAATAACAAAAATACAATTTTTAAAATTTTTGTCTCTGTCTGTTTGTTCCGACTAATCTCCGAAACGGCTGGACCGATTTTGACGGGATTTTCACTGGAAGATAGCTGATGTTATAAGGAGTAACTTAGAATACTTTTATTTTAGAAAAATAATTAAGGTACCGCGCAAAAAAATTAGAACCCATAAAATCGTAGTAAATCCACGCGGGCGAAGTCGGGAGGAACAGCTAGTATACTATATAACCCTCTCAGAAATGAGAGGAGGTCTGTGCCCAACAAAGGGACGTATACAGACTGTAACATACTTTACCTTATAGGTGTCTATAGACTGAAGTAGCCACCTATACCAGGAGTACGGTTAATTTGTATCCATTATTGTAAAAAAAACGTACCACTTAAAACAGCGTAGTGCATGACCGTTCTGTAATCGTTCCTAGCGTCCGCCATCGCGTTGACATCGGCCCCGTAGCTGATCAGCAGCAGCACGGCTTCAATACCCTGGAATAGAGATGGAATTATTATAAAGTATGTTAAACGTGGTAGAGCCAAGCTGCAGCTATATTAGTAGTATAGTTGTAGCACGAATGGGTCGGCTCGACCGGGGAAGGACCACGTTCTTACAGAATACCAGCATAAAATGGCAGCTTGACACTGCTGTGTTTCGTATGGTGAGTGTAGAGAACCGGACACCAACTTTACTGGAAAAGAGGCACTCCATCTTAGTCCTCACGGGTGACGACGCATCTGCATTTTGATTCTTTATTGAAGATAAATGTAGATGTCTGTAGGTCACAGCAACCACTTACCATCAGGTGGACTACTTGCTCGTTTGTCACCCTATCCTATAAGAAAAGAGATAGCTTTCATAAAATAACAATTTCCCACTCGTTGCTATATTAAAAAAATCACAACCAACCCTTTTTTGTCTTGCCGCTTTCATCAGAGGGGTCAACCCCGCTCGGTCTCTAGAATCGGGGTTGGCTCCAAAGGTAAGTAGCAGTTCTAGATATTCAGGATCGGAGACCAAGTTGATTTCGGAGCCGAAGAAGTAGCGTTTATTGGGGTCTGCGCCATGCTCCAACAGTAAACGAGCCACTTCCTGTCAAATTCAAAAATCGAACATGAGTATGGATTAAAATATCACGTTATAATTTTTTTTTGGAGTTTATGGCCTGGTATCTAGACCAAGTCTTAAGTATTTTTATTCGGTTTATTGTAATTTCCCCACTCCATAGTATACTGCTTCACAATATGTTGATGCGTCACATTGTGCAGTTCTTGGGAGATTTTGGCGGCAACTTGATCCAGCAGACAGCTGATAGTTGGCGATGGTATCTAAAGGTGCCTATGCAAACAAACAGCTTATCTTGAGAATCCATCACCATCAGAGCACTTGTTTCACTGTTTCCACTAATAGTTCACATGCGTAGACACTTAATACACAAAATCGCAACACTTTTACATATCAAAGTCCACTTCAAACCATTATTTAAACAATAATACAGGAGCAGCAAACCGCCGCCGGTCAATTTCCCGCCAAAACTCTCACGTTATAATTTATAGCAATGCGTGTTGCCAGTGATGAAATCGCCAGTGACCTGCTGGCCGTGTGAGGAAGCTTAAGGTCGATTAGTGAGCTACACGCTAGTAGCTATAACAACTATTTTAAAGTTGTATCGTGAAACGACTTTGGAATGAAAAGGAATGAATGATGGCTAAAATGGGTTGACTCGACCGGGGAAGGAAGACACTCTCAGAACTACAGCTTAATTAGCAGCTTAATGCTGCTGTGTTTCGTATGGCGAGTGTAGAGAACCGGAGACCCATTTTACTGGAAACGAGGCATTCCATGTTAGTCCTCAGGGGTGACAACGCATCTGCATTTTGATTCTTAATCGAGGATAGATGGAGTTGTCTGTGGGTTACACATTCACTTACCATAAGGTGGACTGTGTGCTCGTTTGTCATCCATGTTCTATAAATAAAAGTTTCACTGCGTGATAGAATCAGTAAGACATCTCAAGTAGAACCAGAGTAACCTACATAGCCCAACGGATCAGTAAGCTGGAATGGCAATGGTCTGGCCACCTAGCTTGAAGAACCGATAACCGAAGAACGGTTCTCAAGTGGCAGCCTTGTACCGGTAAATTGAGTGTAGAGCAGGCCCATTAAATGGAATGGCGAGCTGAGATGACATGCTAGAAGTTGTTGGATGCGTGTAACTTAGGTCTGTATTTGTGGTATTCCTTGCTGGCAGTCTTTGTTCAGCAGGAACTTGGGAGGGTCTGTAGTGATAATGACGGTGAATTTGCAAAATTAATCTTATCCAAGGTGGACACGAATACGAAATTAGAAGCACGTGCTAGCTTCTAATTTCGTATTCGTGTCCACCTTGGCGAAGCCTGGTTTTATAATTGCGTCGAAAGATTCCACTTTCAGTTAACAGTTATTTTTGTATCCATTATTTCCTTTTGGCGCAGTGGAAACGTACTATTATCTTTTCTCCTGGGATTTCAGTTCTTTTTAATCAATCCTTCTTGTAAGTAAACAAAAAGTAAAATATTCTCTCTGCGATCATTTCTACATTACTTAACAGTTGACCCTATTTAACTACTTACTATTGAGCCATCATCTATATAACAGTACAGTGGTATTTACATAATGTCCTCCAGACCGAGTTAAGGTCACGACAGCCAGCCTCAACGGAGACTAGCCATTTGCGCAGGACAGGATCACAGTGCCCGAGTCTATGCGCAAGCATAGGTGCACTCTCTATTATGTCGTATGGTCTGCAGTCGCATTCACGATCACTAGACAATGGAGGCAGTTAAACTTACGTAATGCTTGTTTCTGATGGCCAGGCGCAGTGGTTCGTCGCAGAGCGTAGTACGGGGGAACTGTTCACCGGTGTCTGGTCGGTAGTCCACCGCTGCACCGCTCTCCAGCAGTAGCTTCACGAGCTCTTTGTAGCTGTGAGGATGTCATGGAACTGAGTTAAAATTAATAGTTGCAGTAGAAAAGGGGAGATCTCCTAAGGTGTTCAGCCCAAAAGCGGCCAACGCTCCGTGTGATAGTTCTTAGCTATTCTATATATACCATAGTACTCGAGAACTATGATAGCGTGATTTAGGCTTTGGCGCGTATTTCCTAATGGCGCGACTACAGTACCGCCAGAAGTAAGCTGAAGTAGCAATCGGCCGGCCATATATTTCAAAGAACCGTCAACCGATGGGGAAGAAAGGTTCCTGACTGGCAACCTCGTACTGGTAGGAGAAATGTAGGCCCACCACTAGACGGAATGACGACCTTATAAGACATGCAGGAAGTCGATGGATGCAGGTAGCTCAGGCCCGTGCATTGTGGCATTCCTTGGGGGTAGGCCTATGTTCAGCTGTGGAATTGTGAAGGGCTATAATGATGATGATGATGACGACGGTAGCGCAAGAGCCGTGGTAGTTCAGGGGCTAAGCGCTTGCCTTAAGATTCAATGCATGCGCGCAACCCAGGTTAGATTCTCGCCGGCGCCAATAAAATTGATTATTGCAATTTTCAGTACTGATTTACCACATGCTCAAAGATGATGATGAAAATCGAATACATAAAGCCGCAAAAGACTGCCAACACGCATTGGGGCAGCGCGGCTGACACTTCCTTGTAAGCAAGGGAAAACCCTCTTAGTAATTAGTGGAGGTCTATGTCCATCTGTGGGACGTATAGAGCCTGTAACTTTACGGTAGCGCAGTGGTAAAAGGTTCAGTTGCGTTGCTGCAGGTCGCATATTCCATTCTGTCTTTTTACACTATTAGTGGTAGAGCCACGCATCACGCTAATTATTTTTTTTATAGGATAGGGTGACAAACGAGCACACAGTCCACCTGAGGGTAAGTGGTTGCTGTGGCCCATAGACATCTACATTTATCCTCTTTTGCGAATCAAAATGCAGATGCGTTGTCACCCGTGAGGACTAAGATGGAATGCCTCTTTTCCAGTAAAAAGGGTCTGCGGTTCTCTACACCCACCATACAAAACACAGCAGTGTTAAGCTGCTATTTTACGTTGGTATTCTGTGAGAGCGTGGTCCTTCCCCGGTCGAGCCGACCCATTCGTGCTACAACTATACTACTAATATAGCTGCAGCATGGCTCTACCACGTATAAAAATCTAAGGCCAAAGAAGCCGCAAGGAAGTAAGGTGTTCTTTCAAAGCGCAAGCAGTCGTGTAGTCAGTTTTACTGCCATAAAGCTTGGTGCTCCGAAATACCACCAAGTACCTTGTTGCAGCGTACTATGACTGCAGCACTAATGTATCGGGTCGATCGGGGAACACGCTCGCAAAGAATTTCAGCGTCAAATACCAGCACACACTGTTGCAGTGTTTTAAATGGTGAGTGACGAGAAACAGAAACTATTTTTCTGGTAACAAGGCATTCAATCTTAGTGGTGATAAGGCTTACCATCAGGTGGACTGTTTACTAGTTTCTCACTCTTACGAACATACATAGGGTTACGCGTGTAATCCACGAGAAGGTAGGCAGAGTTCAAAGCCCAGCGAATTATTCGGATTACGTTTAGCCAAAAAATTTTGTTTTATATCAAGAATTATGAATAATTATAATTTAAAATTAAAAATTTTGTACAGCCGACTTCAATATAAGTTATTAAGAATAACTCAAAAACTATTGGTCTGACCTTGATCAAATTTATATGGGACCACACGAGAAGTACCAGCTTTCAAACAAAAAAAGAATCATCGAAATCGGTTCACCCAGTAAAAGTTATGAGATAACACACATAAAAAAACCATACAGTCGAATTGAGTACCGTCTCCTTTTTGGAAGTCGGCAGAAAAAACGTGATAGGTCCATCGCTTACACAAACACAAACCTAATATCCTACTACTCGCCTTTGATGAGAAGCTAGGAAAGTAGTAGAAAAGTTGGTACTTTCTTTTTTGTTATAAGTAGAACATAAATATGGGACCTATACATCCTACGACTAGATTAACATGGAACTTTGTCACTCTTAATTCCATAAAAAAAAAATAGAAAAATTAATCCTTTATTTAGACCCACGAAACGTTCACAGAATTTGTCTGTTACTAAAGTTGCTTTGCCACGAATGAAACGGAATAAATTAACGTAGTTTACCACCCAATTAAAACCTGTATCTGACACTGCAAGTACTAACCCATGTTCAGCGGCAAGATGCAGCGCACTGTAGCCGCAGTCATCCTGCGCGTTCACATCGCAGCCACGCACCAGCAGGAGACGAGTGGCTTCAAGGTACCGTTGCCAGATCGCGTAGTGTATAGGCCGGAGACCCTGAGTTACAGGCTCGTTCACCTGCGAATTGAACGCAGTGATCATGCGTGTGTTATTTATTTATTTAATCCTTATTACATACCTTAAAAATGAGAATATAAAGGGCGGACTTAATGCCTTATAGCATTCTTTACCAGTCGACCCGGAATGAATTGACAAACTGTGGCAGGTGTATACAATTACTTAATGAGTAAATAAGAGTTGGCTACCAATTTTTCTTGTTCTGATGAAGAAGCTCGTTAAGATGACTCCGTGGCCCAGTGGATTAGCAACGAGTTGCAGCGCTTGAGGCCGCGGGTTCGAATCTCGCACGTAACAAGTATTTATATGGACTACAAACAATTGTTCCGGGTCTGAATGTTTGTCCTTATGCAATTTACGTTTGTCAACAGTCACCACAATACAGGAGAAAATCCTAGAGTGGGTGTACCATTTAAGCTCGTTAAGTCCGCTGTTCATGAGGAATCAGACATGTGGCTCGTCCATTGTATGAAGGATTATCTTAATCGTCACGACCCAGTATCAGATATTTCGTACATATGACTTCATTATAAACATAAACAAGATAGTAATGTCGTTAAGTTCACCGCTGGATTTAACTGCTTGAGCCCCTTTGGATTTTGCCATCTTCGCTACTCTGTATTGAGTAGATTTGTAATTCATTTTAAGGTTTTTCTATTTTTGGAGATTTAGGAAAATTTTCCTTTACATGTATTCTTAACACTTGATTTAGAGATATTTATATATAGTTATGTCTGTGTTTGTATGCGTGCATGTGTGTATGGGCTTTTAAGTAAAAGCACTTGTAGGAATGATGTGTCGACGTATGTTTTTTGGGGTGTGTCTGCATTGGAAGCAGTAAGTAAACATTCAATATTATTCTAAATTTTAATCCAAATATTGCACACACCGATGCTGATTACCTTTACCAGTGTTAGCTGCGGATAAATAAAATTGATTTTATTTTACAAAATCTTTTTATTCTTACCTTAGCTCCACAAGCTAAGAGTATGCGGATTTCATCCAGCGGCACCATACGTATGATGGAGTCAGCCAGCTCCCGTTGCAGAGATTTCCCTGTTCTCACTTCTGACGGCATCTTGCTGAAGATTAAAAATAAACCATAATTATTTACAAGGTAAAAACGAATTTGAATTTCGAAACTTAGTGGCATAAAGTGTTTTGTGTGATAAGTGACGAAAACCAGCGACTATTTATACTGCATTCCATCTTAGTCCTTAGTCCTGCTGCATTTTATTTTTAATTTTTTTATAGAATAAGGGTAACAAACGAGCACACAGTCCTTCTGATGGTAAGTGGATGCTGTGGCCCATAGACATCTACATTTATCCTAGATTAAGAATCAAAATGCAGATGCGTTGTCAACCCTAAGGACTAAGATGGAACGCCTCGTATCCAGTAAAAAGGGTCTCCGGTTCCCTACACTCACCATACGAAACATTACAACATAAAGCTGCTAATTTAAGCTGATATTCTGTGAGAGCGTGGTCCTTCCCTGGTCGAGCCGACCCATTCGTGCTACAACCGAAGCAGCAGCTCCATAGCTCACTAGCATGGTAGAGTGCACAAAAAAAATCGAGTATAATACATACAATACCATCAGGTGGTCTATGTTGTCGCTCGACACCCTTATTTTTTACAGCAAAAAGTCACCTTACAACCCTGCCATGCCTTTAAGTCGACTGCTTCAAAAGATCTGGCGTAATTTTCAAACCAGTTACAGGAAATGATTACTAAATTACATTAAGAACGTGGGAGGAACCGATATAAACAACCATCATCTGATATATTATATGACCGCTTCGATCCTCGTTGCGCAGAAATAGAACACGTGCAATGTTTGAAACTAAGCGCGTGACGTTATCACGCAACACGTTTCTATCAGCGACGCATTGTTTTTTAAACACGTCGACTGTTTTTACGGAGTCTTTTATTTTAGTAAATCTATATTTTGACGGGGATAATGTCCTCTAAACAGTGGTGGAACGAAATAACACAAGTTATAGATACTAGCTTCGCTTTTAAGGGGTTATACACCAAAGCAGCGGCGATGAAGTTAAGTGCCCTTGCAAAGCAAAGTCCGGTCGCGCATGGAGTACCACATATGGAAGGCGGACTTCACTTATCTTCGAAATATTTTATACTACATTATACTCGAGCACTTTACAGTACCCATGGTTGACGCTGAGGTGTACCGCTTCCTCCAGATTAAAATTATTAATTTTTGGTCTGATCTACGCAGTATGAATTTATTTTGCAGTCTTGCAATTGTATGCTTGGGCGGGGATTTAATTTTATTAATTACTAGCTGTTCCCCGCAACTTCGCCCGCGTGTTATTTGGGGTTTAAATTTTTTTACGCGGAACCCTAATTCTTTTTCTAAAATAAAAGTAGCCTAAGTTACTCCTTGTGACATCAGCTATCTGCCAGTGAAAATCCCGTTAAAATCGGTCCAGCCGTTTCGGAGATTAGCCCGAACAAATAGACAGACAGACAGACAGACGGACGGACAGTCAGACAGACATACAAAAACATTAAAAATTGTATTTTTGTTATTAGTACAGTATATACTTTCATAGGCATTTAGTAAAAAGCTGTAATTTTGAAATTACAAACAGACACTTCAATTTTATTTATTTGTATAAAAGGATCCCAAGGAGACGGTAGCATCCAGTCATCTTCTCTATTGAATTTAGGATGTTTTTTCGATTTCAATAGTCTCGCGAATCATCCTTCGAAGGAATCGGTGTTCTTTGGCGAGGACTTGTGGTCTATCAAAACTGATGTATTGATGGGGTCGATACTGATACTGGCGATGCTGAGAGCTTAAAAAAGAGAACTCGAAAGACAAAATATAATGAAGTAAGTATTTCATGTATGCGCATATTTTTTCGAGTATATACTATTTTAAAGAACTATCAATTCTCGAGCATCAAAACCGTGTGTAAAATATAATATTTTGTCAAAGTTTAGTTTCTGATCTATTAACGCATAGATCATTGATATTTTTTCCGCTCCCTTATTAATAATAAATTGTTTAACGTATGATTGGATCGAGGAGGAAAACATTATGTTTATATACAACTTCCTACGCAATAACGCAATGTTTTATTATCGTTGCGCGTTTGATTCCGGAGTGCGAATGTTTAAGATCGAGGTCGGGCACCTTGCCTAATGTGTTACGTCGGTATACATTTGTCAGTTATTAAGCCTAACGTATGTATTGTATATGTATTTATCATAATGGAAAAAAGCAACACTAAGTTTACTCTATCTCTCTTCTGAACTCAGAACCTATATGTCTCAGCATCGAGTTCTGAAGCTATGAGGAAATTATTGAATCTCCGCAATCGGCTTTTATTTATTAAAAATTTATTAAAAATCAAATATTTGTTCCCTTCAGAACACTGTCCTCAACGAGAATACGCCATAGCCGATCAGAATCTATAGACGTGATTGTGAACAGGGCTGCCAACTTTTTATACCAAATTTAGTATTTTGAAGCTATTACCTATAAACGTATAGAATCCGATAGATGGAGTGACGACCGGTAAGATGTGCAGGAAGTCGATGGATGCAGGTGGCTCAGGACCTTGCTTTGAAGCATTCCTTGGGGCAGGCCTATGTTCAGCAGTGGACTTGCGAAGGGCTGTAATGATGATGATGATGATGAAATAGAAGCCGACAAAAAACTTATACTAGGATTTTTTTGTATAGAAAAGGGTAAACGAGCATGCGGTTCACTTGATGGTAAGTGACTACCGCCGCTCACGAACAACCGCAACACCAGTGGAATTGCAGGTGCGTAGCCGGCCTTATAGAAAGGTGTAAGCTCTTTTCTTGAAGGTTCCTAAGTCGTATCGGCCCGGAAAAATCGCCAGTGGTAAACAACTCCACAGAGAAGTTGTGCGAGGAAAAAAACTCCTAGTAAAAAGCACAGTGGTGGACCGCCAAGCATCCAGATGGTGAGGATGATATCGTTAATTTTGACGCGATGTGCGTTCGTGGAATTTGGCGGCTGGAATTAATCCGAATAATTCCTCAGAGCACTCCCCGTGGTAGATTCGATAGAAAATGCAAAGGGATGCAACATACCTACGTAGCACCAGTGAATCGAGCCGATCAGAAAGAACTCGGTATTCGACGATTACATACGCAAACTCCAGCCCGGGGCACAAAGGAGTGTTCTAATTTGTACCCTGGGTAGGAGATATGAAGTATCAGCCGGAGAGGACACCTGAGTCTCGGTTAAAAAGAGCAAGGCCGGATTCGCCGTCTCCAGAGGGAAGTGAATAGCTTAAGTTAAGGTTAGAATGAATTCCCTTGATGTTGCAAAATTTCGCGGACAGCGTTACAGGAGTTGCCTTGGTCTTATTGCTCCGCTTATCCCGAGCTAAATGTAAATGTAGAGATGTCTATGCGCCACAGCATCGACTTACCATCATGGTGGATTGTGTGTTCGTTTGTCACCCATTTAATAAAAAAAATCGGTTTAACGACGTGTGTCAAAATTAAAAAAAAAAAACAAAGATGGCGATCTTCCAAGTTTTCCAACGTGCACGATCAACGAACTGCGAAATAATTAGCGCCAAACGTCAGGGAATTTCTTTGAAACGGTATTGTTTTAGTCTTTCCGTTAGAGGACTCGCTTTAATATTTTTTTAAGTCACTTGTAACTGTCAACTGGCTTTTGTTCTGAATGTTAATATCACAGAAGAGTGTTTTATTACAGCGTTAATACTTTCACGAATTTCTTTTGAGTTTTACGTTTTTATGTGGTAGGGCCATGCTGCAGCTGTATTAGTAGTATAGTTGTAGCACGAATGGGTCGGCTCGACCGGGGAAGGACCACGCTCTCACAGAATACCAGCGCACTGCTGTGTTTCGTAAGGTGAGTGTGGAGTCCGTGTGAACCGGAGACTCTTTTTACTGGAATTGAGGCATTCCATCTTAGTCTCACGGGTATCTTAGTCTTACGACAACTTATCTGCATTTTGATACTTTATTGAGGATAGATGTAGATGTCTATGGGTCACAGCAACCACTACCCATCAGGTGGACTGTGTGCTCGTTTGTTACCCTATCCTATAAAAAAACGTCAAAAGTATATGAGATAGCTAAAATGCATTTAAATTATAACGGCAAACGGTAAGTTATTATCCAATTCCAAACAAAATGTTTAGCAGTGCTTTGTTACCCCTGAGACCGGCCCGTGAGGTCTGACTAAGAATGCCTCAATAAAATTCATAGTATTTTTACATTGTAATATATTTAAACTATATTTTATGCATTCATATTTTAACGATTAAATTACATGGATTAATTCTTCCCTCACATTTCCACCAGTGGGCAACAAGGCGGTCGGCGGGTGTTCGATTCTTTGTTGTCGATATTCCACGCATTAGAACCAAACGGTTAGCTCCTTTTTGTAATGCGTACAGCAAAGGAGTGAAATAATTTGCCGGTGTCTGTCTTTTCGGCCGAAAAAAACTGGGCATCTTCGAGGCAAGAGAAAATCACTCATCACTACTTACCACCAGGTGGGATTGTGGTCAAGCACTGGCTTATCTTCTCTATATACACTTGATTTTTAAATCTTTTAGTCTCGCTAAAACTCGAAACTGACTGAGACCGATTCTGATGAAATTTTTTGTGTGTGTTGAGTGGGTTCCCAAATTCACAATTGGACGCAGTAGGTGGCTCTGTTATCGAGATCTAGAAATAAACCACGTGAAGCCGGGGCAGATCGCTGGTAATAAATAAAAAAGACGCAAATGAAGTTTATTAATTGAAAGCATTAAATTATTCTCGAAATTCTCTTTATTACAGGAAATCCTAAGTCAATGAATGCACCATTTTGATTTTGGAATGTTTCCAATTTTTACTTCCTCAGTCACGTAACAAAGAGCTCTATCTTTACCTCAATGTGGTTTATTTGTTGTAAGAATATTAAGAATATTATCTGAATTTTTTTCAATGTATAGTTACTACGTAGTACTATTATTTATTCTGTGGTATAATGTCGTATGTAATGCGTAGTTCTCTATCAACTAAAATTGCGTTTATGTTTTGAAGAACCAAT